ATTTTATATGTTTCTATAAGATCCCCCCTCAATCTTCTGAATTCCAATGAATATAATCCCAATCTACTCAGTCTCTCCTCATAAACCAACCCCCTCAACTCCGGAATCAACCTCGTGAATCTCCTTTGCACCCTTTTTTCTTAGCTACTCACTGCCTGTGTTCAGTGTTGACCTACACAATAAGGCAAGCACCTCTAATGGGATAGGGCAGCCCAATACAGACCAGCATGGACCAGTACAGACCAGCACGGACCAGTACAGTTCAGAACAGACTAGCACGGACCAGAACAGCCCAGTACAGACTGGCATGGACCGGTACAGACCAGTACAGCCTAACATGGACCAGCACAGCCTATTACGGACCAGTACAGTCAATACGGGCCAGTATAGACCAGGAGGACCAGTACAGTCAGTACAGACCAAAACAGACTAGCAAGGACCGGAACAGCTCAGTACAGAGTAGCACAGACCAGTACAGCACAGTACAGACCAGCAGGACCAGTACAGTCAGTACAGACCAGTATGGACCAGTAAGACCAGAACAGACTAGCACGGACCAGTACAGCACAGTACAGACCAGCAGGACCAGAACAGCTCAGTACAGACCAGCAGGACCAGCTCTGACCTCCCCATGCTGTTATGTTCCCTGAAAAGGGGGAAGCCAGGCTGATGTTTGATCCCGGGGTAGAGGCACTGAGGCCAATGGAGGGAGGGGGGCACCTCCCCCTGAGTGGGTTTCCAGCAGGTTTGAACAGTTTGGAGTTAAATGATTGCCATTTGATCCCAGCAGACAGGGTTAGCACACGCAGGGAAAGAGCTGTCCTGTTAAATACCAGGAGGCTCTGACACAGATTCCCAGCAGGGGCTGGCTCAGGAACCTCCTGCTGTGCCTGGGGAGAGGGGCGGCCGCCAGCTCCTCCGCTCTCTCCTTGTTTGGGTCGGAAACGCTTGCTTCAGGCTTAGCGGCCACTTCGCGATTTGCCGCGGGACGGGAGAGAGCGGAGAGCGGCCACCGGGACCAGGACCATGACCGGGAGGTACGGACCTGCTGCCGGCACCCGGGGGGC